GCTACTGCGTCCAGTTTTGGGCACCGCACTTCAAGGGGGATGTGGATAACCTTGAGAGGATTCAGAGGAGGGCTGCTCGTATGGTTGAGAGCCTGCAGGTAAGACCCTATGAAGACAGACTGAGGGATCTGAATCTCTTCAGCCTCCGCAAAAGACGGCTGAGAGGCGATCTTGTGGCTGCCTACAAACTCATTGCGGGGTGTCAGCAGGGAATAGGGGACACTCTAATGGCCACAAACTGAAGGAGAATAGATTTAAATTGGAGATAGGAAGAAATTCTTTACAGTGAGGGTTGCCAAAATATGGAATGGGCTTCCAAGGGAGGTGGTGCTTTCTCCTACCTTGAAGGTGTTCAAGAGGAGATTAGGCAGGCCTCTGGCTGGGGTTACTTAACCCCAGCGCTCTTTCCTGCCTGGAGCAGGGGGTCAGACCCGAGGATCTACCAGGTCCCTTCCGACCCTAGAAATCTATGAAATCCCTGGAGGTCCCCTCCAGCCTTTTTTTATCGCCTTTTGCTTCTTATTTATGTAACGTGTTTATTCATATAAATAATAATGCAGATTTAACTTGTCCAGCTTATTTAGAAAAAAGGTATTGTTTCTTGCTCTCCTTTACACCTCAAATTCCACCTTTGCAGCATAAGAATAATAATCTGACTAGCTAGTGTTTATAGGCACCAGTTGCATCTACTGGTTGGAACAGGAGCTGCTCAGGGCTCTCATAGACCCTACTTTGCTCAAAAGAGATTATTTCCTGCAGCTCACCTGCAGAGCTATGGCAGGTAGGGATGAATGGGCTCTGTTCTGCGTGGTTGGTGCTGATAATCGAAACGTTTCTGAGCGACTCCAAATGAAGGCGCTGAGAACGACGTTAAAGGGCTGCATTTTGCTTGCGTTGTTCTGTGAGCGGGTGCTGTTTTTTTTAAGTAGCCATTTCTCTATCGTAAGACGAGGCAAGGACTCTTGGAACTAAAAGCCGGTTGCTAAATTGTGTCGCTCGGCTCTTCTCTCTGTGTTTACCCTGTGCATTTGGCAATACTTTGCGTCGGGCCAGTTTCTCCCTCTGTTATAATCCAGTATTTCCTTTTACTGGGAAAAAAACTCACAAAAGCATCATTGGGAGAACAGAAAACCCCTTACAAAGATTTATTTTAAACGAACATACACCTTTAAGAAAAATACATGCTTCCCCTAGGCCAGATTTGAGACTCCACCAGAAATGGAAGTGTTTTGAATCTAGCTTTCCTGCGCTCCCGTGTTCATTTTGCCAAGGGAGCCCCTGTCAGGATAAATCTGGCTCTTGGCTATTTGGATGCTGAAATACCCGTAGACGGTAAACATCCCAGACCAGCCTCCTCTGATCATTAGAGAGTGACTAAGCTTTGGTAACTTGTTAGAAGAGATGGTTTCACAGGGGCGGGAGATTATGCTATAAAACATGCTCCCAATAAAATCCGTTCCACGATGACGTTGGCTTGGAATTGTTTTCAAGAAAGCCATCGGTCACAATGCTGTAAAAGGTTAAATACAGTAAGGATGGAGCCAGTAAGGATCTGTCGCAGGGCAACTCAATGCAAGGATTAATTGCCAAGTGCAGGGAGCTGGACCCAATGATCTGTAAGGTCCCTTCCAACCCCGAACAACTATGGACCTATGAAACCCCTTTAAGCATCTCCTGGAACTAAAGTGGAAAACAGCACTCTTGTTACGGAAGTTGAAAAGCCAGTTTGATCCTCCTCTGAGCATATTATCCTTCTGTTGGGTTCAGTGGGCTTTTTCCAGGACAGTTTGCTCTTTTCGTCCTCAGCTTGGCCTCTGAGGGTGTCAGAGTCCTTTACACAGTTTACATAGACCTGGGCAGATTTGCAGCTAGCGTGACGCGCTGCAGCTCCGTCAATGCATGTTTTATGTTTTGATGGCGCCCTGCCAACGTACAGAAGGCGAGGACGTGCCCTGCTGCGAGTCGAAATGGTTTTAAGGCATGTTCTCACTTCATGGGTGGGACAGAGCAAAACTGCGGTATAAATGGCACGGAGCTACCATCTCAGGCAGGAAATGGAGGTTACTGTAGCTAATAGAAACTGCACCCGGCCCTGATATCAGTGAGGCCTCTCGGTGCTATTACAGCATAAAGATTAAGATCCAGTGACTGAGTTATCTGATCAGAATAGAAGTCTGCAACGGGCGAATGAAGTGATGAGCTGATTTTGCAAAGGTCAAAAATTGCACGTCTCGCTCGAGAGAAAAACACCTCGGCTGGAATTGTAGAAATGCTCTAGAGACTTAAGGTTTTCTAAGCATTGAGTCTGGACCCGATGTCCACAGATAAAGCTGGGGGTTGAGGAGGAAACCCAATTTACTCCCTGCCGAGGCAGCCTAGTAGTGAGAACGGTATCTTTTGTACTAACAGTGGTATTCCCCATACTTTGGGTTGCTTTATACAGCTGCCCCAGTCTGTTTGCTAGCCCGATCGTGAAGGTTTACTGACCTCTTCCCTTTTCTGTGAAAGAATTAAAGCTATACTCTGCGCTGCTCTTCAGAAAGAAAAGCTAATAAATAGGTAATGCAGAGTCCCTTCGTCTGATGCACGCAGCACAGAGGATCTTGGAAATCAAAGAAACATCAAATTGCCAATTAGGGTGGAGCTTCCAGAACTGGAAGGGAAATGCGAACCAGCAGAACATGCCACGACGGAGCCTGACTCCAGTTCAGGCTGTTTTGTTTATAACCACTTATGAGATCCAAGTGGCTTGAAGTGGCTTCTCCCCCCTCCTTTTTTTTATGAAAGAGTCTTCAGAGCTGGCAAGCAGTGGGCTCTGCCTTGGCCCTTTTTTCTGAGCAGGATTCAAACCCTGTGGCTCTATTTATCTTTTAGCTGGAAGCCTCATTCAGGGAAACACAGTTGTTTTTCAAGTTAGAGCACTCGCCGGCCTACAATGTGCTCAGGGCTTGCAGGTTACCTGGTGATCAATTTATACTCCTTCCTGAAAGTCCCTTTCTGATCTTTCTTTCCTCTCTGCATACAAGGAGCATCCCGCGTGGCCTATCGTGATGGTATAGCTCCGCCATTTAAATTTGCAATCGATACAGGTTTGCATGGTCTCCCTGCAATGCATCTGAATCAGTCACGAGGGCTTCTGAAGAAAGCTGCCCCTAGATTTAAGTGGCAAGGACAAACTGCACGGTGCAGGTGGGAACTGCAGGAGGATGGTTTCCCATGAGCCGTGGTGCAATGAGTCCGGAAACTCGGGCATCTGTTTTGTTTCTGGTGATAACACTAAGCCATTGCATTTGTCTCATCAGCCAAGCAAGAGAAGCTATAAATGACCTTCCAGATTCAGAAGAGACTGTTCTCTCTGGGCACCTGCCAACCTGCGGTGTCACAGTGCACCTGTGTGTAATAGGGGAAGTGGTTTACAGGTGTGAAAAACAAAGCATAGGAAGGTGAAGGGATGTGTTCAGGTCTCAACCGCCAGACAGTGACAGAGCTGGGGATAGGAGCCAGACTGTTCGTTTGTGCTCTACTTCGTCTTTGCCTTTTCCTGCCAGCTCAAAGCGGCAGTGAGTAGCTAGGTACACAAGTGAATGCTGTTACTTTCTTGGTCCCTTGTCTGCCCGTGTCCATGCGTGATGCTCATGTTCCAGCCCACATCAGTGAACATCTGTGCGTGTTTTCAGAAAGCAATCTGGTTTGACACAGATCGGGCTGCATTTCAGTGCTTGGGTGACAGTCCCTGTAAGCCCTGACTGAAAAATGCCTTGGGATCCTTCAGGTGGAAGAGAGCGGGGGAAAAAGTCAGAGAGAGGTGAACAGGAGCGGTGGAGGTTACTGAAGAACTGGATCTGGTAGCGGCTTCTGAAACGGGATTTTGTTCGTTTTGTCCAGCTGACCCAAATATATGAAGGTCTCGCTGGGGCCATAGGGGAACTGGATTGCTCCTTCAAACAGCATCTTGCTTTCAAAGCTCGAGGCCCTTTCAAACTTGATTTAAGTCTCTTAACTTGACATTAGGGAGTTTCCAGATTCTGCTTGCTGGAAAGGGGGAGAAGTGGGATCTTTTCCTGGGGTATATGGATCAAAGACAAACTGGTTGGCTCATTCAGGGCCAGATTATCATCTGGCATCAATCAGTGTTGCTCTGTTCACAGCAGTGGAGGTATGTTGATTTATGCTGCCTGAGGGGGGTCTCTCTGCTCAGAGTCTGCACTTCCTTTTCAAAGCAGCCCTGGAGGTGGCCTGCCCTGGCCCTCCTTGAGCCACCCTTGAGGTCCCAGTTGTCCATGCAGCAAAGGACTGGTGGGTGCAGGATCCCAGCGCTGGGCTGTCACTTCCCCTCAGGGTCTTCACCAGGGAGTGCAATGCTCCAGTGAGCTGGGGTCTAGCGGTGCCCTGTGTGCTGTGCAGAGAAGATGGAAGAGAGAGATGTGTTTGAAGCTGTACCAGATTGCCACCTCTTACATCCTGGCCTTTTCAGTCCCAAATAACCCATCCAGGCAGCTTCTTTCATCTCTGTTTGCTGTTTGCATGTTTTCCATCTGTCTCTGTTCTCAAGGAGCCAAGATCTCAGCTCATTCCTCTCTGTGCTTTTGTAATGCAGATAATTGAACCTTTGAGACTTGCAGTCCAGCCAACCAGAAACTTTGGGCTGTTTCTGGACTGCTGATCTTATTTGTTCCTTTTATGCCTGAGTCATGGTCTCATGCACCTCCAGTCAGTTGTGATACTTGGTTGCTATACCTGAGCTGCTGTAAATTCGGAAGTTGTGGCCTGTCATATCCTAGTGCTAAGTGCAGTGGACATTAGGAGAAAAGACCTTCTGGGATGATGAGTCTGTTCCCTTGGGCACCTCAAGCCTGCACCAAGACATGGCCTTAGAACAATGCTTTCCGTGTGTACGCATTTGCCCTGAGAAAGGCCTGGCTCTGGGGAAGGAAAGCAGGGGAATACGTAGGAGCCTTGGTGTTTTATTTCCTCTTTTCCTTTTCTCTTTGTATCCCCAGTGGTGTACGAGCACAGATCCCGACTAGAACGGTCCCTGCAGAAAGAGCGAGGGGAGCACAAGAAGACAAAAGAAGGTGAGTCGCTCTTTCCTCTCCAGGAGCAGAGGTGGGTGGCAAGCCTAAGGGTCTCTCTAGGGAGCAGCACATGGCAGGTAAAGCAATTGGTACCTTCGTAGCCCTTGCTGAATCCTCGTTATGAAGTGATGAATAGGAATAACCCTCTTTTACAGATGGTGGGACTGCGGCTGTCTGGTGAAGGGACTTGCCCATGGCCCTGGAGGGAGGAGGTGCTGGGAGATCAAGCCTGGAAGTCAGTGGCTCCTATTCATGAGCTCTACTGTCAAATAACGAGTCTATCAAGGTGCTTGACACCCATAACTTAGCATCTGAGTACGTCAAAGCCTATTAACTCGGCCTGGCACCCGACCAGGCTTTTTGCTTTTAAATGAGTAAACGTGATTGCCTGGCAGCGCAGCTTGTTTTCTGGCACCAAAATCAATATGGCAATTATGGGGCCGGTGTTTGTAAGAGTGCTCCAGATCCATTCGACCCCATATATGCTTATTCATTGTAATAATGTGAGCAGCACTGTCCTGTGCTATGGAGGCATGCTGCAATTGGTAAGTCCATTTTTTAAATTCAGTCCAGAAATTGAGGCAGAGAAGGCTGTGCAACAGGACAGGAAATGAGAAGCAGAGGGAGAGAACTCGTCTCCTGGGCTGAGTACGTGCAGGCTCCCTCGCTGATCGTAGCTGAGTGAGTTGGCTTCTACCTTCCAGGCTGCTAGACGGAGGAATCTCCTACCTCGTACCAGGATTCAAGTGCCTTTCTGATGATGCTGACATAAGGCCTCTCCTGCCACAAAGCTGTGACTCAGTGGTTGACTAAAATGTTTCATATCTGGCCCTTCCTATCTACAGTTCCTTGGTACTTTAAGCCAGTATTGAATTAGGAAAAGAGGCAGCTGGCAAATGTGTGGTGTGGAGCCCAAGTGTCTTGGTGCTGCCAGCATCCTCGTGTTCCTCCTAATGAGGGGCTTTGCTCCACGTTCTGATTTAGCAGATACTTCCCTCCACGGGAGCTTCAAGTCCAACGCTTTTACACTGCAGGGTGACTAGTGCTGGCTTCAGCTTTCCGCAGCTCCTTCCGTCACGCTCTGTGGATCCACGTGTCGTCTCTTCTCTGGGAGCTACACGTGGTAAAAGGCATCATGGCTTTCTGGCTTAGTCCCACAAAGTTGGCAGGGCCAAGTCTGCGATCTACTGGAAGTCAGTGCTTGATGCAAGCTTTTGTGTTTGGCCCCATGCTGCCACCTCTTCCTGCCCATGGTCACCATCCACCCAATGCCATCTGCGGGTGAACATGGGCTCTGGGAGGGTGGCAGGAAGAGTAACTCTCATGCAGGGAGGGTCTGGCCATTCCCCCCTTCCTCCATTGCCTCATCTAGGTTGACCTGGGGCCCAGCCACAGTGGCCCAGACTACAGGTCAAACTGCCATAAGAATACATGACCTGGTGCCCATGCCGGACTTAGAAACATTTTGGTCCAGACTGCAGGTCAACCTGCCATATGTATAGCTTTGGTGACCTCTAGTCCAGCCACTGCTTCTCAGACAATAGGTCAAACTGCCGTAGAAATGCATGGGTTGACCTGGTGCCTGGCTGCACGTCCCGGGACTGTAGGTCAGCCTGCCATAGAAATGCAGCGGGTTGACTTGGTGCCTGTTCCATGACACACCTGGACGCATCCTGGTATAACTGATCTGCCTCCTTTGCTGATATCTGTTTCTACCCTGCTTTTCACAGCTCTGAGAGGTACCTAGGAAAGATCTCTTGCCACTCAAAGCTTACAGGCTCACTAGGCAAGGTGGGCAGTGTGGGAAAGTTCATGGAGGCATGGAGTGGAGGATGTTTAGCAGCACAACTCTGCCTCTTTCTGCAGTGGGAGTCCTTGAATGAAGGCTGCAGGCTTTGCTCAAGTCATTCTGGGCAGGGTTTAGGAGCACCCAAAGTGCCCCCAGCCTGCATCCTAGGGTACAGCCTTTACTTTTGTATTTTATGTGGAGAAAAGGGCTTGCAAACGGGCACTAGACCATTAGATCACATTCCCAGTTCCACCATGGATGACGCATCAAGGTTACTAGATCAGGTCCAGTTAGTTCAGACAGGATGGGGTCTTTCCCCAAGCCTCCCATTTGAAGAGGAGGCTCCAGCTTCAGGAGATGAATGATGAAGGGCCTGCAGGAGCCAGTACTTCCTTCCTGGGAAGTGCAGAGGGGATAGCTACTTTCATCCCAGAAGACCCTGACATCTGGTACAACTTCTATGCCACCAAAATGCAGCTACTTCTGGGTTGCGCAGTGGCATCTGTGCAGCACGCCATGCTGGATAAAGGAAAGAAGGGCAATTTTGATGAGGGTGACTCAGTAGGCCGGTGGAAGGAAAAGCCCCTCAAGGTGTTTGATTGCATAGAGCCCAGAGGCCCTCTGTACTATTTAGGACTCCGAAAACTGCTTGTATTCCTTCCTGCTGGGTCACAGCCTTTTGATCTATTTTCCTTTCTGAAAGGATGAAACAGATCCTGGAAAATGCAAACTCTTTAACCTGTCTCCTCTTCTCTCTTCTAGATTTTTTAGTATATAAATTAGAGGCTCAGGAAGCTCTCAACAAAGAGAAGGTAGGTACGATACGTTCCTGAGAGGATGTGCGTGTGTGTTTATGTATGTGTTTGCGTGCGTGCTTGCATGTGCATACACATCCAGGGAATATCTCTTCACTGTTTCTACCACCGCCGCCCAGTACCCAGCTGAAGGCATTACAAATATAGCAGAGGAGGGATGCCAGCAAGATGAGCCTGGGGTTCGGTCACCATTTGTGATCTCTGATGTGAGAGGTGGAAGGGAGGAAGAGCTGCAGCTTATCAGGCCAACCCTTATTGTTGATCTGTATGCAGATACCCTAAGGGGTGTCCCAGTCACCAGCTTGTGGTAAAGGGCGGTGGGTTGTCTCTGCAGGGTGTGCCTGGCTTTCCAAACCTTGCACTTCAAGGGGGTTTCTGCAGGCCATGTGGCTCTGCTCCTTACTCAGCAGCAGCATTTATGGAGGCTGGCTGTAAAGTCGTCCTGCCTGAAGAGGAGGGGATGTTTCTCTTGGCTGGGAGTGAATGCTTCCTGGAATAGAGATGAGCCTCCATTGTCATCCTCTCCAGTACCTCCAGTCCTTACAGAAGAGGGGGTGAGGGCTGTTTGGTCCATGTGCCGTGCAGCAGCAAGGAAAGAGTCAGTGCTGGTGGATTCTGACAGATCTGTTTTGCTCAAGTCTCTAGGAACACAGACGTATCAGCCTTCCTGTCGGATTTTAGGCTTCCTTATGGGGTGGAAGTGATGTGAGTCTGGCCCAGCCCAGGATTTCCACCCTGTGCCCATTCCTGGGGGTGGTTCAGAAGCCTCCGAAAGGCAAGCACGCGGCTGCTGGGGCCAGCATGACATCTCCCTGCTGTCCCGAAGTGCCGTTTAGACAGCCGCGTAGAAGGCCAAGGGGAACTGAGCCGTGCATTCACACCATCGGCGAAGTTAATGGGGTGTTGGGAGTCACTCCAATGAGTTGGAGCAGCAGTTCCCTTAGCTGGGACAAAAAGACAAGGGCTGCTGATCCTCATACCCCTGGGCCTGAATGGTTCACCAGCCAGGGTCAGGAAGAAATGCATTCCAGGGAAATAGTATAGCCCGCTTACTTGAACTCGTAGAGCTTTCTGTTCCTTTCCTGAAGCATCTGAAGTTTGCCACTGCTGGAACGAGGCATCAGACTAAGTGGAACTTTATTAGTTTGTTCCACGATGGCTGCTGGATACCAGGCAGTTGTCGAATTAGCATAGCGGGTGCCCATGCTAATTACACGGATAGCAGTTGTGTGTCCCTGGGGCTCATCTGGTGCTCATTTTTTATGCCCTATTGAGTATTTACCCTATAATGTGAATTGTGGGTAATACTGGAAAATAACTCCGCGCTGTGCTTACTTTGCAATTCTGCAGTGCTGCCTGGGAACTGGGCTGTGCTCATAAAGCTTCCCAAGCATAGACCCCCCTCCGGAGAAGTACTGGTGAAAAGACAAAGGATTGTGCCTTGTTGTTTGTGCCCTGCCCCTGGCGAGCTCTGAATTCTTTTGCAGGGAAAAGCCAGCATTTGGGCTCCACGTTTTGGACGTGGGATAGAGAGGAGGCTGAGGTATAGGGGTGTTGGCGGGGGGAGAAGAAAGAACTCACTCGGAGGGGCTAGCTTGGAGAGGAGGTGGATGGTAACAAATCCCCCTCGTGTAAATCCAGACCAGGCAGCTCAGTGACTCCACGTGAGTTGCAGAAACCTTGCTATGTCCTGCTGCCACGTGGGGAGCCAAATGGTCAAGCAGGCAGGACAGGCTAGTTTAATTACCTCAGCTTAAGGCTCTGCTTTAGTTAAACTGGGGCAACTTCTGTGCGTGGGCGAGAGCTTTGTTGCAGCGTTGTCTGCCTTCCTGCAAAACCGCACAGTCTGGTTCCCAGAGAAGCCTTTGCTATACAGAGCTCCTCTGGCTGTATAGGGTTCTGCTCACCGTGCGGGCCTGGGGTGAGAGCGAGGAGCCCGAGGGCATTTCTCTGTTTCCACTGGAGGAACAAGAACCAAAATCCTGTGGTCTTAAATCTCTTCGCTGGCAGCAAATCCCTTTGGGTGTCTCGAGCTTAGAGTTTGATTTCCTTTTACCCTGGCATAACATTGGAGAAGTCAGTGATGTACCTCTAGATTCACATCGCTGTAAGTGAGACTCAACCGGCCTTTGACTTTATAAACCAGAAAAATATCATCCCTCTAATAGGCACGGCGCTTAGGTCCTTGAGGGGAGGGAGAAGTTGCTGAGTGACTGTCATTAATTAAGTGGGACCCTAATTATTTTTTAAGCAATCCATTCCAGCAGCACTCGCGCCTATAGATGTGACCTATAAAACACCCGATCGTATCCAGAACACCTCCTGGGCCTGCTAGCTTCTGTGGACTTGTACAGCTGGTCGTGCAGCCGCAGTAATGCTTGCCAGTGGCTTTCCCCTGCCTCGGCCCGTCTTGTCTTCTAACAGCTTTCTCTGATCTTTGTTGCAGCAAGATTCGATGAACAGATACGGGGCCCTCAGCTCGCAGCACAAGATCCTGAAGGTAAGGGACGTGCATGGTTTCACCATGATGCTACCTGCCTGAGGCAAAGTCGCATCTCTTCGAACCGCACAAGAACTTGATGAAAGGAAATTCGGGACCTCCAGCTACCAGCTGGCCCATAGGAGAAGCTAAGGGTCTCCTGTAGGCAGTTGCCAGGCTAGAGAGGGTAGGTAATCTTCAAGTGCATGGTGGCCCTGATATACATGCATAGCTACACTCATGGTAGTTAGGCAGCAAAGGGCATGTAAAGACTCCTGTTGCTTGCATGGGCTCCCATAAGTTAAACCTCATGCCTGTCTCTCAGTGACATTCTTTGTGGGGCTGTAACAGGACTTCCGTAGTTCAGTAGATTATTTTCTCGAGCTCCCATCGTGAAAATTGTCCCATTCCCTGTCACTCGCCCTATGGGGCTAATGGACCGTGTTTCGCTAAAAAAAGGGGGTTGTGGATGGTGGTGGCTGAGCACGTACCAGGCTGAGCCGAGCACACATGCCTGCGACGCTGCTCGAATACGGCTCCTTCCGCTACAGCGCACCCAGTGAGACTATCCCTTAAATCTGGGACACGGACACGGGGCTGGGTTGCAGTAACTTTCAGCACAATGGGGTTGTTTCCCGAGGAGAGCCGGCCCTCCCGCTGCCTGCGTGTGTTAGACTGAAACTCTTGGAGTGAGGAAGTGCAGTTTTCTTTTGTGTCTCCCACAGTGTTGAGGATGCTGGGAGCACTTAATAGCATTGCATCGGCATGTCACAGGCACAGCTGAGCTCGCCTTTCTCAGGGGGATAGAGGCTGAGAACATTAGCTCAGGCTTGTCTGTCTGCAGACGCTCATTTCCAGGCCCATTTTTCTTCTCTGCCTCCTCCCCTCCCCCTTTTTCTCATGCTTTCTTTTTATCTGAAGGGATTTTTATTTTTTAATCGGAATTGAGTGCTGCCACACCGAGTTGGTTGTCAGCGTACTTGGGTTTTTGTCTCTTCTCTGTCAGCAACCCACTATGTGATCCTGGAAGTCCTTTACCCTGGTAGTGGGGATCATGCTCTGCTCACAGGAGGTCTCAGAGGCTAAATCACTGTCTGAAAAGGGGCCCCGAGTCCTTCAGCTGGTGTTCAGCCATCACCCGGGTTTCAAGGCTGACTCTTGTCCTATTTTATGAGCTGCCAAGGTACCATGGGGCTGGTGCACAGGGGATTACTATGACCATAGCATCTAGTGCAGTTTCCCAAGGCGTCCTGAAAGCTACTGGCATGAAGGAAGTGGCCTGTGATGGCTCCTTTGCTGCCTGTTGTCTGAGACTGGTTACAGGCCACTGGGAGGGAGCAATAGCTGCAAGCTGATGCTGTCAATGAACCGATGACAAGGATAGCTGCACACGGCCTGGCGTATGATTACCTTTGGGAGGTGGTTGAATACCAGGGCAATATTGGGATGTAATTATGCCTGAAAACTTCTCACCAGGCAGTAGGGAGGACACACTCAGGTTTCCTACACAGGATTAGTTAAGGAAATGTGGGCAACATGTAGCTTGCCTGCTTTGCAGGGGCCAGTGTCTGCCTTTGGCTAGTAATAGGGCAACTGTTTGCTTTCCATGTTGGGCCCTCGGGGCTGATCTATATGGCCCCTCTGGGAACACTGCCATAGGCACTTGCTCCCACTCAGGACGTGCAAAATCCCAGCAATGAGGCAAAGTAGAGCAGCACAGAGAATGTGCCTAGTACCACTGTCAGGCTGTCTGTATTGGGCAGGCTTCTTGGCACGCATGCCAGGCACCTGGGTACTGCACGGAGGCAGCATAGACACTGTCTTATTGTTCTACCAGTGGGGCATCTCCCGACAGCTTTGCTTGGCTGTGCTGGGGGTGTCGAGGATGGGTTGTAATGGGAGACAGTTAAAGAGCCCTTCCAGAGCCCAGTCAACCTCCTACTGAACTTTTCCTCTAAGCTAAACTGAGCCCCAAAGGCTTGGCTACAGTTCCCCCGTGGCGCCTGTGTCCCGGTGTCCCCGAGTTCACCATGCCTTCAGAGGAAGGGCAGCATAAGAGAGGAAGGGAGTGCCCCACTGAGCAGCTGAGCCAGGGGAATTGCAGAGCTCAGCACAATAGGTGTATGGGGAATAATCGGATTATGATGGCCTGGCCCATTCAGGACTTCCTAGGAAACCCATCCCTGTGCTGTGAGCAGGCTGATGGACAGGGCAGGAGCATGTTGTCGGACTGACTTAGCTTCGCAGCATCGTTTTCTCCTCTCCAAGAATTAGACTACAAAATTAAACAGGCAAAATTCCACAGGAAACAGAACCGGAGGAAGAGGAACTGAGTGGAAACCCTCCTGCGAATAACTCTACGCAAGTTCTGCACAGGCCCAGGATGGAAGTGGTCCACAATCCTGGGGTGCCCTCTCCTTGCTGCCGCCTGCCGTTCCACCCTTTCTGGGGAAACTCAGCTGCTTAGCCCGAGAATTTCATTGCACTTCTCAAATTAGACCTCAGAAAATCCCAGTGAAGAAGACAGTGCAGGGAGGGGAAACTGAGGCCTGGAGAGAGAAAGTGCCTTGCCTAACGCTGCACAGGTTGGGACTAGAACCCAGGTCCCTTGGCTCCCTATGCTCTGACCTTAGCACTACGTTGCTTTCCTGAAGACCAGGCCAGTGCCTTTTCTCTTGGCCCTTGGTGTCCTCAGGTTGAGGACGGTATCCTGTGCTTCTACAATGCCAGTAATTTGGTTGCATCAAATGCAATTCAGTGTCTAGCAAGTCACCTCTCAATTGGGAGGTGCAGCTGATTCATGGTACCGTCCAGAAACCATCTTCAAAATACAGAGAATAAAGAGGAACCTTGTTCTGGCTTTCTAGAGGAAGGGGCCTGTATACTAGAGATGTGGCTCCAGGAGATGCCATCCCTTCTGGATCGAAGCCATCTCTGTCTGATTAATGTTTGCAGCTGGAAAGCTGGTCTCCAAGGTACGAGATGCCTGGCTTCCTCCAAAAATAGCAGCAGCAGCCGCCTGTGACTAGATTCCCGCTTGTCCCAGACTT